CTTTTTATAGGCTTTTTGTGGCGCTGACAGTATTACAGTTTTTCTTGAAACATTTCAACAAGCAGCTGTACCAACTGCAGGGTAGACAAAGTGGGAGTATAACAAGTTAGCTGGTAAAAATGGAATGTGACAAAAATGCCTGTGGAAGTTGTTTACAGTTGCACTCACACAATTGTTGTCTGTGGTCAGAAAACCAAAGAAAATTAATTTTTTATGATCAGCTTCGTTTTTCTCTTACTCCAAACAGTGTGGATTGCTAGCAGGATTCACTTCAGTGGCCTGAGAAGTTTTTATAACTGAACGTTAAAAGAAAAATGTAAACAATTTTTTAAAGTAATTTCCCTTATTTGTAAGAAGCCAATTTTGTGGTGGAAAGTAGTAGTTTATGGATTATTATCTATTGTGAATTTGCTTTTCATACTTTATTACTTAAGGACCTCTAAGTAAGGTATCAGAAGTTATATTTTGTGAAAGCTTTGAGTCCTATTCTTATTTATGATCTTCATCTATTCATTGAATTTAGTTGAAGAAATTGAACTGCATAACGCAAATATGCTCAAAATATACTTGTGTTAGGCTAAGAGCTTATCCTTAGAACTGTGTTATTTAAATTGGGATGCAAAGTAACTAAAATGTAGCTCTTAATTCTAATGCATAGAAAATCTAAGTGTGATTTTACAGTGAGGAATGAGGTACTCTTGCATTTTATCTACGAATATAGTTAAGAGTATATAATAAGAACTGTGAATATTACTGCAGATATTTACTTCCTATATCCCTCTGGGAGGGGTTTGTATTCAAAGAACAGTTTTCCATTTATTTAGCTAGGGAAATGTTATGTTTATCAGATTAGCCCTCTGCATTTGATAATAGCTGGCACAACATTAAAAGGCTGTGTTTAACTTCATAGGCTGCTTACTTAGAAGAAAAAATGAAACCGAAATATCGCTACTTCCTCTTAATGATTAGAGACCTTTACTGCAATTTTATTTCACATGTTAACAGAAATATGTAGAGAAGTTTCAGCCTTCCTAAAGCTATTTAGAAGTTGTAACTATGAAGACATTAGATCAAGGAAGAAAATTCAGGCACTAGATCTGAAAGTCTGGCATAGTTATTTGTCATCAGAAGGAGCATTTTGACTTTTTGTTTTAGCTTCATCTAGGTTGGAATTTCTTTCTTTAGTGTCTGGGATGGTGCAAAGGGTCCAAGGAGCTGAGAGGGAACAGGATTAAGACAGTTAGCTTAAGCTGGCCAAAGGGATATTTCATCCCATGTGACATCACGCAGAAAGAGTTTTGAAAGCAGTGGGAGTTCATCTCTCCTTTCCTCTGCTTGGGGTTCTGGCTGGACATCAGTCGGAGGTGGTGAGCAATTGCTTGTGCATCACCTTATTATATGCATTCATACGTATCTGTTGTTTAAAAAAAAAAGGGAGCATAGAAAATAACAAATCTTATGAAGCAGTCAGGACATATCCCGAGCAAAGCAAAGAAAATGAGCTTTGTTGTTGGCATGGCGGACATAGACACAGTGCCTGTACTGAGAAGCTGATAATGAAGGTTGAATGATGTAACATTTCCTCAAAGATTATTTGTTTTACTTACAGAACCATTTTGAAGCACATCAAGAGGAAGGTATGGTAATCTCTCACATGGCTGTTGCTGGAGTGGGAGTCTGGATTGCTTTCACATCTGGATCTACGCTTCGTTTGTTCCACACTGAGACACTGAAACACCTCCAGGATGTTAACATTGCCACGCCTGTTCACAATATGTTGCCAGGTAGCTGAATCACACCATATGACAAAAAAAACCCAACTGTTTTGTTTTGTCTCTATCACTGTTATTTTCCAGATTGTAGATAAGGCCAGAATCAGAACATCTGTTTCAGTCTTTGATAGCTATCTTGTGACTGTTTACTTTAGTAAATCACAGTCCCTTGTCTGCCCAAAAGAAAGACATGTGCAATGAGCTTGTTGAGAGTCAGTTCTCCTCAGTGGTTTTAAATTTATATTATATAGATAAGCAGGTGGATTTATTTTATTTTATTTTATTTTTTTTTTTTGTGACTATAAAACAGGAGAGTGATTCAGTCTATCACAAAAATGTGTTTCCTTTGCAAATTTTAGTGTTTTCTTCTGGAAGTTGATATTAAAATACGTGATGGAGTCAGTCAGCCTAGGATCTGAACCACCCAACAAAGCACTTGCTTAGTGTCAGTTGCTTACAGTGAAGTCAGTGGAACTGCTCGCATCTCCGTTTAGGAGTGTGTTGTGTTCAGTGTTCTCTTACTTAGATCTTTAGTTTGTTGAATTAAAAACATTTGTATTATAAGCAAAGATAGAACCTCTGGTTGTTAGGGTGATGTTTAACAAACCTTTAAGTGTTTTAAGACAGAAACTGTTCAACCATACTAAGATCATCAGTGTCACAGACAGCTGTTCTGGTCTGTATCAGATTTACAAGTGAGTGACTCTGGTAGTTAGACACATACCGAAAAGAGATAAACTTATTTCTGGCACCTTTTTTCAAATGCCATGCACAGATGTTATTACAGACTGATGTAGGCCAATATGACTCTTAGACCTACGCAGTACTAATGGACACAGGTTTGGGGATGTCTTTCCCCTATGCTGTAATGAGCACATGTGCATCAGGTAAGAGAAATGAGAATGACCATGTTAGCCTTGCAGTAAAAATCTGTTTTAAATCATGTCCATCTATAGTGATCTAGGTAGGATGTTTTTAACACGTTGTTTGATTGTAGCACTGTTACAAACCAGCAGCAAATGTCTTGCCTTTAAATAGATTGTATGCTTTAATTAATCGTGGTTATGAAAAGAAATCAAGACCAGTTTTTAAAAAGATTAATTTTCAAAATGTTCTACTGTCTGTGGGGGAAGGGGGAGGAAGTAGGGCCTCCCTTACACACATTTTATGCTAAATTTCAAACAAATTTAGCTTTGGTATTCATAGCCATGGTAATAAAACTGATGATGTAACACATGATTTTTTTTTTTCTGTAGAACAGTTTTAGCTAATTATATCTCCTTGTGTCATTCTTACCCATTTTAATCTCTTTTTTTTTTTTTTTCCTCTGTCTTTTCCCAAAATGCACTTCAGTGAATGGAAATGGAAATTTATTTTAGAAGTAGAACAGCACTTTTTATTACAGCAAATGTTCCAAGGGAGGAATCCATTCTAAAAATGAAATGAATTTCAATTATTTAGCAGCAGCTCTTGGGCATGTTTATGTTATCCCAATTTGCTACACCAGCAAAGGCTAAAAGACAGAGTAGTAGGAGGTTTACATAATAAGCAACACTAAGAGCTTTTGGAACAAAAAAATAAATAAAACTGTGTAGTATACACTCAGATTAAAAAGGAACAAAAATCTGACACAGGAGGAAGAATGAAGTGGCTTCGTAGTTACAAAATGCACATGTTTTTTACATTTTCTGTGGATTTTAATGAACTGATTACTGTTTAGAAGTGTGATGTGCAACAGGACATCTTTTACTTTTTAAAAGAAACAACTCTTAGCTTTCTGAAATCCAGTGGGAGTTCTTTAATATGCAAAAAGAGCACGTAAGTAAAAATTCAGCTTGTATTGAAATGAGGCAGAAGAAATTGATGTAAAAGTATTGCTAAGGATCTTAGGAGGAGAGATTAAAAAGAAGAGTGCATGATTATCATTATATAACTTCTTGAAGCTGGACTCCTTTTGCCAAGTTCTTACTAGGAGCAGCGATGCGTGATATTGGCCTAATAGGCTGCATGGAGAGGTCATCTGCATCTTCACTTAATGCAATGGACATAACTTGTTTACATAATGAAATTATCATTATTTTGTAGGTATACAGTAGAAATAAAAGACAAATTTACTGTTACTGTGTCAGAAAGGCTACTTGAATTACAAAGCTATATTTAGAGGGTACTTGTAGTAATCAAGACAGAGAGGAAGTTTTCATACCCTTGGTAATCAGTTCTCATGATGTTAGATTTTTTCCATTTCGGGGAGAAGACAGCTTTTAATATCACTGCTTACTTTCTTTTTCCTAAAGGATGTGCCTCCTTTACTTTGAGAAAAATAACTCAGCAGCCCACCGAGTAGGAGAGAATCAAAGAATAATGAAATATAAAGGAACTGGCACAGGAAATTACTGTCATTATGATTCAGTGGAATTTAATAATGTAAAAAAAGGAGACAGAACCACGGACCACAAGCCAAAAGTATATATATATATATTTTTAAATCATGATTGATTTGTGGAAATGTTTTATATACTGTGTTCACAGAGGTCTGGCTAAGGAAAGAGCTTGACTGAAAAAGTGCCGCCTAGATATAGGTCATATTTTGGTTATTTTCATGTCAAATATGTCAGCTAAATGGCATGAAAAGACCAATTAATCTGCTGAGACATCTGAGTGGGTTCTGAATAACTACTGTATCCTAAAACACCCTCTATCAACTGTGTCCCTGCAAGCTGTCATTCAGCTGTGCTCAGTCACTAGGTAGTCCACATACAAGGGATGTAACTAATACTCTTAGTGACTCTGTTCTGTGCTCAAGCTGATGATTTTCTGGAGTTGTGGGAAGTTTGTACGTAGGGACACAGGTCTGAAAAATAAACATGACCTTACTTTCCATAGGATTTCTGTTTAGTACAGAGCGCTCCACAGAAGCGTTGCATGCTGTATCATCAAAACCACAAGCCATAAAATACTTCCTAATACTGTATGACAGAGTTAGGTTCTTTTTAGAAATAACTAAATAAATATCTCCAAAAAGCACAAGGACAGTATGAAAGAAGAAGGTTGAGTTGAAGAGCATCGTCATCACTACAGGCCATACAACTGTACAGTACAGTGAGACTGATTTTAAGTGGCCTAAGCTCAGCTGTCTGCTAACTGACATACTGAGTAGGAGAAAAAAAATAATATGTGAAGACAAATGTAAAAACTCACTAATGTGCTTCACCTATTAGCTTAGTATTTATGACCAGTGATTGAATCTTACTGATTAAAAGGTAACTTTTCACCCATCTTTGTCACAGCTCACACAGCCTGGATAGTGAAAATAAATTAAAATCTTACAGCATGTGAGTACACAGTTCTTGGTTTTATTAGTAGTCTTGTTTTCAATTTCATTTGAATTTCATTTGACACTTTTGAATAACTTCTTCGTACAAATGTTCCTCAGACATCCTTTTTAAAGAGATTTCTGTGACCTTAGTTCACTGTATTTCTCTGCTCATATGAATGATGAAAGGTTACCTGCAGAACAGAGAGGCAATTTCTGTTGATGTTGCTGTACTCTGATTGTATCCGTGTATGCTCTAATGGCACACGTGTGCTTCCTGGACACAGATGGGAAAGGCAAAGATAAATGGTATCATTTCCTTTCTGCAGAAAACAAACTATACATTGAGACTTAGAGTTTCCTTTTGTTCCCACCTCACCAGATGCCACAGCATAAAATGTAGTTGCTTTATGATTTTGCTGCTGAGAAATGATTAAAAGATGCATGAAAATCTGAGGTCAGCCCATTTGATTTGCTTTTTTAGACAGGTTTTTATATAGCAGGAAGAGCAAGGTCATGTAAGAGGATATGTACCAGTATGTCCTTGCACGTAGCTAGGGAGCGCATGGTTGAGTCTGAGTCAGAAGATGAGACCTGAGAAAGGCTGAACACAAAGCAGAAATATATTAAAACTATTTGTCCTTGTGTAAGCCTAATTGGTGACTTCAGTTCTTGGTAGACTCAAGATCTTGGTAAGATTATTTCATGACTTTGACAATTCCATCATTGCACTGCAACAGTGTGATCTAGCAGTTTTCCTATTTAAAGTAATTTTTGTTTGTTTTTGGGATTTGTTTTTCTGACTTACCACTGTTAGCTCGTTAATTTCTGTGCTTACTGCTCAACAAGTTGTAGAGAACTGGTTTTACTTTTTTCTCTTGATTTGAAATCTGTACAAATACAAAGTCAAGGAATAACAAAGAAAAGCATGAGTTCAAACCTTGGGTAGCAGAGAAATAAGTATTTAAGATTACTATTTATTTGAATGGTATTTTCTCTCTCTCTTTTTTTTTTTTTTTAAAGTTATTATATGCTATTTCAAAGTATTTTTTCAAATGCAGATGTTTCCTGCTTTTCAAAGATTTCAAAGCAAACATCATTCCTTTTGACCTCACTGTAGATGTTTCATGCTTAAGGCTGTGTTCCATGTTTAAGATTCTAAGTTGCTGGCTGGTAATTTGCTGTTCTCGCCTACAGAAACAGTGAGGAGCATTACTGGTTTTCACTGGGAACAATTAGTAGTTGTACATAGTTTCAGGGTTGGTGTATAGAGTCATGCATATTATTTTTACATTTTAAACAGTTGAAAAGATATTAAAGATCTATTGTTAGAAAGGTGAGCATCTTCTTCAAAGGCTTTGACAGGCAGAAGTAAAACTGATGTGTTTCACAGTTAAAAAAAACTTGAAAATTGCACTTTAATATTTCTGTTTGCACTTTGTAAAACAACTGTAAATGAAATGGAGTGAGATTAGGCCAACCTGCAGTTTACCTTGTGTTTGCTGTGACACAGGTTGTGGGGAGATCTTAAATATCCTGTGTATGTAGCCTGAGCAGATCTGAACTCTAAATCACAAAGTTCAAATCTTGATTTTTGACGACTCCAATATGCAGAGGTTGTTGAACATCCACATTTGAACTTGTTTTGACCTGTTATAAAGGTAAATGTAAAATCTGTATTAGCAAATGATTGAGGAAGACAAATGGTTGTCACATGTTGTATGTACGGCTTTGAAAACAGCACAAGCAGACTTTTATTGTGCATTACTGTTTTTCTTTCACTCTCAAGGCTGCCACATGTCATCACTGTGGGTTTTGATGTGTTTTTGGACAGTGTGTGGTCACTTGACTGCTCTCTCTCCAGAAGTAGAAGTCTGTGCCTCCCCAGAGGACTGTCCATCTAACTAACCAGTGTTGAAGGAGTGTTCTTGTGTGCTTTGCTTTGGAAACTAAATTCATCTCATAAAATAAATAAATAAAGCCTTCCAAAGGTTAATAATTTGTCTAAGGGCATAAACCATGTATGCTTATCTACCTGAAGAGGGATAGCGCCATCATACAAAAAGAAATAATGACAGTTTATGGAAAAACCATAGGTGGCTCTCTTCTAGTCTGTTATTAGTAAGCAAAAATTAAATCAATTTCCCTCATGCTGATTATTCCTTATGTGGCCATGACAGTAATTGGTGAGTGATTTCTCTGTCCTCACCTCAGCCCACAAGCATTTTTCATCACATTTTCTCTCTGTTCTTTTGAGGAGTTGGAGTGGTATGGTAGAGCTTAGCTACTGCGAGTGAAACCACCACACTCACTGAAGGCCTCCATGAGTAGATGGAAGCTCTTCAACTTTTTCATGCTAATTACAACTATGGACTGTGACCTCATTGCCTTTAAGGTATTTTAGAATGTGTTTTAGGGTAGTCAAAGCTGAGAATCCAGATCTGGCCCTGCAGGTAGTATGTGCCTTTTACAATAAACCATTACTGGATAAATGTTTTGGTTTTGTAGAGTTCTGTGAAGAAAGACTTGGACTGCAGTCCACCTGCTGCTTTCCAGTTGAGTGCTTTAACCTTCAGGCTTCAGTCAAACTGTTTCTTCCCTGCTTTCCAACTGGGTCTGTGATTCATGCATTCTTAGCTGTAAATTGGCCCAGCTTCAAAGGAAGAGATGGAAAATTCATTCATTTGTGATGTACTGTAATTAAGGTATTTTTTCAAGGTGTGGAACATGTAGGTTCATCTAAGTTATATCAGAAGTGGAATCCACATTCCCTACTTACTGGTGAAGTGATTAACAACTTGAGGGCTATGATAAAGATGGGATTGACTGCTCTCTTATCATGTAAAGTTAATTGTAAATCCAAGAACATGTAAGCTGTGAACCTGAGTGACTTCACCATTGCTTAAATGCTTCTAAATGGAATCATGGCAGAAGTTTGGCAGGAATTATTTTGTCATTTTCCATTTTTGCAACCTGTCAAGGGCATTTTGAAAGTAAGTCCAACTACCCAGAATTAAATATTTAGCAAGCATTGTAAGCAGAAATGACTATTTTCCTAAGAAAAACAAAAATCTTGTCAATAGAAGAGATTTGTATGAGGTCAGAGACTAGAATTCTGAGTTCATTTTGTCTGTCTTCTTGAAACAAGGCAAATTACATCTGGTTGCTTAAGAACTTGTCCAAATTTGAGTATGTTCAGTTACAGAGATACTCTGCTACCTCTCTGAGCAACTAGTGGTTGGCTGTCTTCATGGTGAAGAAGGTTTTTCTTACATTTAAAGCAAATTTGTCATGTTCCAAATTTGACCCATGGTGTATTATCCTGTCACTGAGCACATCTGAGTAAAGTCTCTTCTGTGTACATTAAGTGCAGACAACTTGTATTTTTCAGTCTCTCTTTGTGCATTATTTACCCCAGTGTCTTGTTCATCTTAATAGGCTTTCACTGGGATTTATCCCAGTATGCCAATGTCATTGTTGTACAGGGGAACCCCAGTGTGGATGTGATACTGTGGACAATGTGGACTTCTTATACTATTTCACAAAAATAAAACCATGAGAAGAAATTAATCATGAACAAGTTTGAGTCTCAAGTATAGTGTGTTGTCATAATACGTTACTGAGCACTGGGAAGTGGGATGCCTTTCAGTTTTATTATTAAGAGCATACACGGTCAAATTTATAAAAGCATATTTGTAAAGGTAATGTGTGTCTATTTTTAGTTACTGTGGTTCAGAGATGTAGGGCAGATAATGCAAGTTCAGCTGTATTTAAATTATGACGTATGTAAAGTTTAATACAATCCCGCAGTGCATTTGCCTTTCTGATGAGTGCTTTGCTGAATGCAGCTGTGCAGCTGATTGTGTGTTTGAGGTTACTTTGACCTTGGCGAAGATCATTACATAAATAATACAGCACTTCCTGCACTTCACAGGGCAGCAGCGTGTTTCTGTGACCAGTCTGCTGGTGTGCCATGGCTTATTACTGGTTGGAACAAATCTGGGGATAATAGTAGCATTGCCAGTGCCACGCTTGCAGGGAATTCCCAAAGTAACTGGTGAGTGACATTTCTCAAATGGATTTGGTAGGATGTCGTTATGCTGAAGATTTTTTTGCTGTCAGTAGTTCAAATGACTCTGCCAAACTATGTTTGTTGTGGAAGGACTCATCAGGGCTTTGTGATGAAATTCTATCTGTTCTTCTTCCTTATCATTAAAGTATTTTCACATGCCTATCTGGATTTGTCTCAGTTGTTTGAGTCAGGACAGCAATTTTCTTTATGGAATAAGAACATGGTAGGCATTAATCCTATCAGAGTGCAGTAAAAAAAATACAAGAAGAGAAGAGAGGGCATTGCAAAGATTCTTTCTTCCATACTTGGAGAAGGTTGATGCATTAGGTTTAGAGACATGGGTACTGACAATGCAGTACATTCTCTGACTGGCTATTTGGCACACTGTTTTTGTGACCTCTCTTACCAAAACTAGAGACTTGGAACATGTGAGAACACACACACACACACACACACACACACACACACATATATATATATATATATTTATATATATATATATATTTTACAACCACCAGTATTTTTGCATTTTGGTGCATTCATAAGTTAGTTTCATATTGCCTTGTTTGAAACGTAGGAATGCTGCTGAATCATTTTGTAAATGTTTAAGCTGCTAGCAGAAGTGAGATTATTTTTTTTTTAATGTATGTAATTCCAATTAAGTACTATGCCATGCTACAGTTCAGTTTCACAATTTTACTAGAACTGCTGAGCTGTGGAGAAAAGCTGTCATATTCTATGAGGCAAGTTATTTGTAACCTCCTTCAGGGATTAAAAAAAAAAAGTATATGTAACTTTTCAGAATGAAAATGAATTGTGTTCAGCAAAATATGCAGCAATAATCAGGGAATCACTGAATGGTTTGGGTTGGAAGGGACCTTTAAGATCTTCTAGTTCCAACTCCTTGCTATAGGCAGGGACACCTCCTTCTAGACCAGGTTGCTCACAGCCCCATCCAGCCTGGCTTTGAATGCTTCCAGGGAGGTGGCATCCACAGCCTCACTGGGCAACCTGTTCCAGTGTCTCACCACCTTCACAGTAAAGAATTTCTTCCTAATATCTAGTGTAACTCTATTCTCTTACAGTTTAAAGCCATTTGTTCTCAGCCTGCCACTACCTGCCTTTAGAAGAAGTCCCTCCCCAGCTTTCCCATAGGCCCCTACGTATGACAAATGTTTCTTAGAAGTTATGGAAGCAGTAGTAGGTAAAAATAAATGCAATACAAGTATTTAGAATTTGAACAAACAAACAAAAAATTTGCACTTTTCTCACTTGTGCTTTCAGTCCTGATAATTCATCTTTATGCCATTGCACTTTCTGCAAAAGTAGATTTTTTTGTTTTTAATCATAACCTGGAATGTATTAGGGAGTTAGGGATGGATGGGGTGACTTGTAGAGTAGTGGTTTCTTTTCTTTGATAACCTAACTTCTTTTCATCTTATAGGAGATTTTGTATAATGCTATGCTTTTTTTTCTTGCTGTAAGAGCCCCATACACTGATGTTGTTAGAGCTTCTGAATTTGGCATTATGCAATTTGTTTCTCATATATTCTTATGATTTTCATGTGTAATTTTTCCTTGTACTACTAGCAGGTATTGCAATGAAAGAGATGTTCATATGCTTTTCTAGAATGGTACAGGGGCACGGTAGGATTAACTGAAAACCACATATTTTCTTTGTGGGTTACTGTAGAAAACTCAGAATGTTATTTTTGTGTCAATGCCAAAAAAAAGTTAGCAGAAAATGTCTGTATTCATGCTGCCGTAACACAGCACAAGTCGACTTGAATTCATTCTGTTGTGTTCCAACTGGTTTATTGACACAGTCCTAAAACATCCTTATGGCACGATAGATAATTTTTTTTCCTACACTTTTCTTTAAATTGCTTATGTACAAGGAAATAGACAGTCTGTGGATGGACTGAATGCATATAACAGGATTTTAAGAGTTACGCATTCCTAAGCAAATTTAACGGAGTAAATATTGTGGAGTGCTGTAATTAAAACATTGTCGTCTTTTCTTTTGGCTGCAGGGAGAGGAATGGTGTCGTATCACGCGCACAATGGGCCGGTCAAGTTTCTTGTAATGGCTACATCTATAAACAAGAAAAACAAAAACAAGCTAAGGAACAGCCTGCCTCGTGGCTCAGAATCTAAAGACAAAGACCAGAGGAATGTTCTGCACAGTGACAGACCAGGCTCTTCCAATAGCAGCAACCCTGATACTTCAGTTTGGCTGGGAGGTTCAGCAGGATCCATTGCACAAAAAAGTGACTTGTCTTCATCTTCTGGATCCTTTACATCAAGTTCCCTAGAGCATAGGCCAGAGGACAGTAACATTTATGAGCTTTTGAAGGATCAAAATATATCTTTTAAAAATAAAAGACAGAGATCCAAGAAAATGAAAGCAAGTTCAGTATTAGTCATTTCTGGTGGTCAAGGACACAGAAGAGTGAACAAGAAGACCAAGCAGCAACGACAAGATGAATTAGTGTCCTCAGTGATGGTCTGGCAAATCCCGCTATTGAATATATGAGTGAACTAAATTCAAGATACTTTCTGCTATTAAAAAGTCTGATATCTTTATACAGCAAATGCCAGCTTAGGACCCAAGCCAAAAGACTTTATGACATGGGAGCAATTTCAGTAGGATTTGATCACGGAATTAAGGGATACAAAGCAGAGTCTTTACGTACGTAGAACATTCTGTGGTGTCAGGGTATTGGAAAATGTCTAGCTGTTGATGCTATCTTTGATACTTAGAACAGAAAGGATTTGTCAGACATTTTAAAAGATTTTAGGAGTTTTGTCTTATTTATATTCACATTTATAAATATCGTCATTATGTTCTATAGCACTTGGGGAAGGCAAGGAACATGTGCTGTGTCACATGCTGGTTTTTGCTTATGTAAATCAGCTGTTGTTTCCTTTTCCAAACCGACATATTGCATGGGCTGTAGATTTTAACAAATTAGCACAAAAAAAATTTTAACAATAAAAATCCTAATGTGAAAGCTAATATTAGTAATTACTGTAACAGTTAGTAACATCACTCCATAAGCCAGAGTTTGCTCTGAACAAACACAGTTATATTAATTGAAACTTTTTTTTTTTCAACATAGACAATAGATTTTTTCTTTGTATTCTTAATGCTCAGTATTATGAAAAAAGTTTCAGTATAAAAAGTCCATTAATTTTCTTGGTAGGTATAATGTGTCTGTTATTCATCTATGTCATACAGAGAAAGTTGTAAGGATATCGTGGCACACATAATAGAAAGTACAGATAAAGAACAGCTGTGCATTGTAGTGCTGGTAATGCGTTCCCCTCCTGGCAATTTTGTGTCAAAGGTAGATATGGACTGTGCCATTATTAACGAGGTATGCATATCCCAGATGTAAATAATGAGCTCAGAAATATACTGAAATAATCTGTGGGAGGCGCAAGTAATCGTTGTGGATATTCGTCCTACATCAGTGGATCTGTGCTATGTCCTCAGGCAAATACCTATCAGATAATGTCAGTCCACAAGTGCAGACAGCAGGGTTATGGTCCAATCTGCTCACCCAGAGATTCAGCCAAGCGTGGTCTGATAAATAGATATTGTAAAACTAGGGTGCACAATTTGTTTGCATTTATTCACTGAGTGGGACAAGGTGTTGCTTTGGTACTGTTTTAGAGGGCTGAATTTTAAACAGGGACCCAGTTAATCTTCTTTTTCTTATTGAATGGATATTTCCAAAAGGAATTTTGAACTCGGGGATACTATTGACATTGCTTTTTGCACTATACTCTCTGCGTGTGAAATACAAGGCAAGGCCTTCAGCTCAGAAAGATATTGCAAAAAAATGGTTATGAGACACCTTGTTCAGTCACAACGGACTTAATATGTGTGAAATGAGGGCTTCTATCTTCTATCTTCTTCTCTTGTCAATAAACTGAAAGATACAGAGAGATTAAAGCTCTTAGGCTTAATTCGGGTGCGTTAAAAATTCTAATACCGTCCATCAGTTCAGTAAAATATAAACTAAATATATCCAAAGCAAAAGTCTATCAGGTGTTTGCATTGACTAAAATCAAGCGCAAGTTTTGGCTGTTTTGGCGCTTGTCTTGTCCCAGTAAATTATAAATGTACTCTAAATTTTCGGTCTGCTCTGAAAAGTGAATCTGTATCAAGCCAACACCAAAGTCAGTGAATGGGCTGACTCACTGAGTTTGGAGTGCTGCAGTAAGGTGGTGTCCTGCCTTGCTGCCACATGGCACACAACCAGGACAGAGGGAATGCTACTGCAGCAAACCTCTCCTGCTGCCACCAAAACAGACGATTCAACAATCAGATACACACCTACATTTCTTTCCAGGAGCTCAGCTCACATCCTACATCCTTATCAGAAAAGGCAGCTTGAGTCATAACAGCACAAACTCCAGTAAGTCACAAAGAACTTTTGTTAGAGATTGGATTGTAGGTCTAGAGTTTTCCTTACTGCTTTTTGTGGTTTTATTCTGTGTCTTTCACCACGATTCTTACCGTGTCAGCTGGGTGCTCCCAACATTGATATGGACTTGGTGTCGGCATCAGTCCCTGTGAAATAAAAAGCAGTGTCTCTAAGGCAGGCTGCCAGCAACATTTCCCCAAAGTTTTCCTCTTCTTCTTGTCCTTGTGCCTGGTCTACCTTGCCTGAGGGTTCAAGACCAGCTGCGTTTTCTACATTCTTCCGTAGGCCCTGGGGGTTTATCTTTGCCCACTGTGTGGAAATACTAAATTGTACAGCATGAGCTGTGTATAAAGCCTCTCCTGCGTATAAAGCCTATGTAACCTGATGTCTCTTTGCTACACTAGAGCAGAAAGACCACAGGTGTGATTCTGCATGCTCCTCAGGTGTGGGCTTCCATGCCCATACTTTTGGGGCTGGAAGATTATGCTCACTTTTTCATGGGTCTTTATCATTAAGAATGGTAAGCCAAGACCCCATGTAATAAGCTGGAAACCCACGTGTGGAGTTATTACAGGAGGTGCTAGCAATGAGGCATAAGAGTTTTAAAATTCTCAGTGATATTCATCCTACCTTCCAGCTGAAATGTAGCTTTCTTCACTTTAGTCAAGAGAACAGGAGAAACAAAATACAAATCTGCTCTTCAGAAAGTCCATTGATGTTTTGCCACTGACTTCAGTAAGAACAGAAATAGGTCCTTCATTTACACTATACTGCTTTGAAAGTAAAGATATGTATTTGTCTTACCAAGTGGAAAAAAACAAAGACAAGCTGTACACCTTTGGAAATATGAATTGAAGTAGACCTTCAGTGATGGAGCATGACGTGCAATGCTTGTTTTCTGATACATAGCTTCCATAATAAGGTATTGCCTTGCAGTGAAAGCAGACAGGAACCAAAGTTTCTCTTACAGCAAGCAAGTAAACTTTATAGCTATTTCTGACTGCTGCTGGGTAGATTGGATTTTGCTTTCTGGTACTGCTTTGCTAGATTTGTAGAATTTATGGAACACTTTAGGGAAAAGGGGGAGAAAGTGTAACCACTACGATATATTCTGTATATGTTTTCTAACATATAGTAGGGTCTTTTGTAACATGAGCCATAAAAGTACGTATTTATGTTCAAAGTATAAGCTGAGAAAATGTTTAATAAAAAATGTGCTACAACTTAATTTCAGAAGTGCATTTATTGGGTCGCTATATTAACAAGAGAGCTAGAATCTGGGACTTGCATTACTGAATAATGAAATAATATGTAATTAGGACAACAAAAGTTTTAATACTTTCTATGATTTAATTGCATATGCAATTTCTACAGATGATGCGGACTCGCAGTAAGTTTGACTTCTGTATCAATGGGCACAAATTGAACATTTTCACAATGCTGTCTGGAAGGATTACACACCATTTGAGTAGCACATGTTACATAAAAGTGAGATGCAGTGTTCCAAGTGAGTGTTGCAGAACACAGCATTAGCAGAGGAAATTAATTTTCACTTGGTAACTGGCAATTCATGCTAATTAATGTGCCCTAAAGGATGTATAGGGAATCCCATGATTGTGCTTAAATTCTGAGACTTGTATTCATCAGGCTCAGGAATGGCCTTTCGTGTGTACCTGCACTACTACAAATAAAGAGCTATTGAAAAGAGGTAAAATGAACAACTATTAAAGCCTGCCCTTTGTTCTTGTTTTTGACACCATGTCTATTTTATGTATTGCTCTGGAAAACACTGACACTTCATTCCCTCTCCTGAAGTGCACTGATATTCCATTTCCTGCCATTCTCATTGCTGAAGTAGCAGACAAAAAAACAAAATCAAATTCCATGATTGCAGGATGTTGTGAACTCATGCGCCTCAAGATGGGTTCAGTCCAAGTGGAAATTTGCAACTGCTGTATGGGTGGGATGCTGAGTGCTACAGGTTGTGCACTGCCCCTTTGAGATGTGGCAGAATGCTGGGAAAGATCCTGAGTTGTGTTTTAGTGCTTAAACTTCATGGTTCCTCTCTCTAAGACCAATTTGATTCTTAAAGTGCATAAATAAGGGTGGGAAAAACTTGCAGTTTGAAAGGTGCGATTAATGGAGGGCTCTACAAGAGTTTATCTGTATTTCAGTGAGTGATAGCACGGGGTTAATTCAGTATTTTTGATTGCTTTATTATATCTTCATAGTAATAGCAGGACTATTAGTGCAGGAAGTATTAAGAAGGCAGATTAATATTATCTGTAGCTCAGAAGAAACTGAGTTGTAAAGTGACTTGAAGCCATATGATGAGTTTGAAAAAGAAATCAGATTAAAGACATTACAGCTTGCTAAGCCCTTTGATGAGCCTTTTAAACCATGCTCCTCCTTGCAGGCATTCCATGTGTGTGGCTAAGCACTGCCCACTCTGCATACTGGGCAGGAGCAGGGCAGTCTTTTACATGAGACAATAGAAATAGGTGCTCACAGAGGCTGGTTCTTAAACATTTTATGATATTATAATGTGTGCAGAGACACCAGCACAGACTTTACTCCTACCGTGGAGATACCAGTGACTGGTGCAAGGAGGACCACAAGTCTGTGGTGGATAGTAGGCTGCCTGCGTTATGCCAGAGCTCAGAATTCTACTTTACTTCCATCACTGTTCAGACTTGTCATTTTTATAATTGTGTGGGGGATCTACAATCTGCTTTTCTCACAAGTGCTGTATGTGCTTTGCTGGATCTGTCTACTGTCTGGTTTTGAGAAATCTGGCTCAACATCTGCAGAATCAGTTGGTTTGCTTCTGCCTTGTACTTGTGCTTACTTGATCCCGGCACTGTCCTTAAAGGCATGCCATTACCAAACTGCCAGGAACACTCTTTGCCTTTAGGACAAAGCATGAAAATAGCAACACTGAAATAGCACGGAAAGGATCTCAAAATTTCCCAGGCAAATGAAGATCTACTGTGAGTCTATTTGAAATGCAACAATGTGGACGTATGACCAAAAGCACCTGAAGTGCTTTGGCCAAGCTCCATTAACTGCTCAGTAAAAGGCAGTTAGTCATTCACAGCACGACCTTCAAGGGTGTTCAAAGGGATTTTTTTCCTGCAGCAAAACACGCCTTGACAGCAGAACTGCACGCTCTGCTGATGCACGTATTGTTATACTCCAGGGATAATCACAGTTATCACTTATGTGTGTCTCAGCCCAGAAGTTGAGCTAGAGCACCTAGGAGGGAGACAGCATGCCTTGGGAAGATCAAATCCTTGTAAGCATTGACTGGAAACCCTACATAAGGAATACTTTGACATCAGAAAGTTAAGGTGAGCCGCTTGCAGTTTTTGCAGGCACAGAAGTACCAAGTTACAACTAAAATCTGTGTATTTGCATTCCTGAATACCAACAACAAGAAAGGTTTTAAACTCAAGGGATCAGATGCATCTTGTCTGCAGAGGCATGGACTTCTCATTTTTGCTCTGTTAGTCCTAATTGGAGAGAAGCATTATGGGGCTTCACCTTGAGCATCAGGGTCACATTGAATGCTGGCACAAAGAAATGTGCTAACTCGCACCTACCAAAGCAAATCATAAAGGCTGTCTACTGTGGACTTCTTGATTCCTTCCCTCTGCCAGTGTCTGGAATTTCAGAACTCGCCTGTGAGGCTTCGCTCAGTGTTTAATACGCTTTTTTAAAAACGGTTTATTTCCTGGAGAATTGGGTGGCACACACCAGGACCTTTAATGAGATGGGTTATTCTTAGGTTAGCCAAGATTCGTAAATTAAACATCTTTTCTATAACGTTCCTACAAGCAGCCTTTGACTCTCTTAATCCAGATCAGAAGCAACGGATGCCATCAGTAAAGTTAAGCTGCTTCTGTGCTGCTGCACACAGCAAATGCTGCTCACGCACCCACTGTGCCAGGTGGGATCCTCCAGCCATCCCCATCCCTGCACCAGCCCCGCTGCCTGAGCAAGCAGAGATGGCCGCAGCCTGTAGCTCTGTGTGCTGACATTTCATTGGCGTGCCACTATTTGGAAGGAATGTACTGATCACAAGGTATTTTGCTCCCAAGCCGTAGTGCTGACCATGGACGTACTTTGAGGAGACAGGCAGTGAGAAGTATACAGCTGATTATGGCTGGGAAAGAACACTGACAGGATTTCTCATATTACTGTAAAGAGCAAGGTTAGGTTTTAATTCTGTTTCAAATCCTTTGGTTTTTACGATCTTTTTTTAGTAAATTAGGAGAAAATGTGCTTGTTTTCCCAATGGTCCATCTAAGCAAACACTGCAAGTTCCCCACCTCTTAACCTGACCAAATACTTTTAACCAAATTAACAGCTTTTCTACCTGTTCAGAGCACTGTTTTGGGTGATAAAGCTCTCAGTAATCCACTCTCTTTTGCTGCACTCCTTGTTCTTTTCTCTTATAAATAATACTGATCTGTCTCTGGTGCATAAAAGCATGCAACCCAACCCTGAAGAAACTTTCATGATCTATTTTTCCTTATGGCTATTACTACTCCTACAACCTGATCACTTTTACAGTGATCTTCAAATTCTAATATTTGAGTGCATTATACAAAGGATATAATACACAAAGGTAGATCAGCTCGAGTCCTCAGAAATACTGTTCTCTGATTATGATGCATGCTGTGTAACATGCCTACAGCATGTATGCTGTTTGTAGTTCAGACATACAGGATTTATTTTAGTTGTCTTGGGCTGCTCAGCAGACGTTTAATGAGCTGTTGTTGTGAGCCAGCAATAGCAATCACACCAACCCTTGAGGCTGTTATGTTATAGAAAAAGAAGCATTTCGCACACAAGTAGTAAGCTGTCAAACACAGGATGAGCAAAATAAGCCAGTATTTTTCCCCTGTTTTGTTTTGCTTACATTTTGGCTTCTAGCCATGAACCAGATCTCTGGATGCTGCAGGAACCACTGTTATCAGCTACTGCTGCTAACTACCTGATACTTACCTCACTGTGCACAGGTGAAATACTACTGGGTTTTACCTGTGCCACTCCCAGAATTTTGGTGTTGCAATGTTTAGTTGTCCAGTACACCCACATGTCAATCCAAACCACAGAAGAATAGTCTGCCAACAGCTTTGCACATTGTGCAAACAAGTCTAGTTTGTATAGGCATGCAAGTCCTACCTGGTGTGCTGGATGTGTGCCCACAACATGACAGACTCAGCAAGAGCAGGCTGCACAATATACCCAATTAGCAGGGTAAATGATGGAGCACAGACCTGTGCCCAGCTGTGTGTCCTTGTCAGCACGGCTGTGCTGTGCTCTGATAAGATCTGAGCACCAGTACATGCATCTGGATACGGGTGCTATTGGGTGTCACTGCCATGAGAATGGTACTCAGCTCTGCTGCCCCTTTCTCCACTGGAGCCATCACAGTCTGAAGTCTTC